ACCATGCCAGCCCAGCATCCGTCACGCGTGACACCTCGTGTCTCCAGGCTGGGGAGTGCCTGCAAGATGAGGATCATGCGGTTGATGGAGGTGATGGCGATGATGGTGATGATGATGACGATGATGATGATGCTGTTGATGGTGATGTTGATACTGATGATTATGATGATGATCATGATGGTGATGCTTATGATGGCGATGATGATTATGATGGTATGGTGGATCTGATGGTGATGATGATGGTGATTCTGATGGTGATGATGGTGGTGATGATGGTGATCATGGTGATGCTGATGGTGATGACGATGTCGATGACGATGACGATGGCGATGATGATGATGATGATGATGATGATGATGATGATGATGATGATGATGCTGATGATGATGATGTTGATCATTGTGATGAGGATGACGATGATGATGATTATGATGATGTCGATGCTGATAATGATGATGCTGATGACGATGCTATTGATATTGGTGGTCATGGTGATTGTAAGTGTGATGCTGATGATGCTCATGATATGAATGGTACTAATGATGACGATGCTGATGATGATGCTGCTGCTGATGATGGTGATGCTGGTGGTGATCGTGATTGTGAACACGATGCTGATCATGCCGATGGTGATGATGAGCAGTATGATGTGATGATGCTGTCGTTGGTGCCGATTAGGGCCTCGGTGTCCATGATGCTAATAGCCATGATGAATATTATGATTATGATGTTGATGATGCGGAGGATGAAGATGACGCTGATGATGCTGATGATACTGATGATGCTTCTGCTAATGATGAATACGTATTATTATGATGTCGGCGACGACGCCGATGGCGATGATGATGCCATTGCTGATTGTGATTTTGAGGATGATGGTGTTGCGGCTGTTTCTGCTGATGATGACAACGACGACGAGGAGGTTCATGATGATGATTCTGATGTGGAGGAGGATGACGGGGAAACTTGTTCGGGCCGGCTTTGTGCTTTCTCGGCTTCCCGTGAGGCTGTGTTGGGGGTCCCTTGGGGCCCTCTTTGGCCGTTTGGGGGCCCTCTTATGCCGGCTTGGGGCTCTCTTGGGCCGTCTTTGCCGTCTTTCCGACCCCTTGGCCGTATGGTGGGTGTTTGGGAGCCGTCGTGGGGCTGTTTTGCCGCTGTCTTCGTCCGTCGAAGGGCCTTCTAAGGCAGTCTTGGCTCCCATGGGAGGCCCTCTTGCGCTGTCTTGGAGTCGTCATGGATGCCTCTTGGGCCATCGTGGAGTCCTCTTGGGTCGTCTTGAACTGACGACAGCCCGAAAAGGAGAGACAGCCCGAAAAGGAGAGACAGCAACGGAATATCAATGCTTCTAGTTCCTTCGGGCCCTGTTGAAGGTCCTTTTGTGGCCCTTTTGGGCCATGTTGGATGCGTCCTCGGCCGTCTTGAATCAATATGCGGCCGCCTCTGGGCCATCCTGGGCCGTCTTCGAGACATATTGGGCCTTTCTGGTATCTTTGGTTAACTGCTCGGTCCGTGTTGGGACACACATCCATTGTTTTGAATGAGGGATCGTGGTTTAGGAGGCCCTGGAGTGCTCGGGAGTAGCTCCTGAGAATGCGGGAAGTGCACGATTCTCGAGCGGATGCGCGTGGCATGAGGGGTCTAGCAGTTAGCGTGAAGGGTCATGAGGCGCGGGAGCATTCCTTACGCAGGACGAAATATTGCCTTCTTGGGGAGAAAATGGCGATGATTGAGTTCGACGCGTAACATCGCCGCCGCCGAACGGACGGCGTCTAGACGAGTTGCGTGCAGCTCATCCAGGAGGAGAGAGATGCATTCATGTTGAGTGTTGCCCCCTTGTGCGAAAAGTGGACGAGAGTGCGCGAGACAGTACAGGACCCATCCTGGGACGTTGACGACCGAACCCCCTTTCCCCGTATAATCTTGACACCGGCGGTTTCCCGGGCTCGCGGATCCGATTTCATCCAGTTCTGCGTTTTAATTTCATACCATAAATTCAAAACGGGGCTGAAATGTGTTCCGCCGTAAAAGAGAAGGCCGGTCGCGGAACATGACAATCCGAAATCGCATCCGGGCGGACGGGAGTCGGATCCACCGACACAAAAACCAAATCCGCAATTGGATGCGCTCGACTTCCATGGGGTCCGACGGCGGTTATCCCACACGCGTCTGCTCAAGGCTCCAAACCAATGTTCTGGGGCCAAGAGAAAAGCACCTCGTCCTGGGGGTAGGCGTGTTGGCCTTCGGACTTGTTGGTTACCACATAGCCGACACACCACATTTCACATGCAGTCCGTTGTGTCAGGAGACGCACGGCCGAAACGCATAGGCGTATTGGCCCTCGGAGTTGTTTACCATGTAGCCGACGCACCACGTCTCTCTTGCAGTCCGTTGGGACAGGAACTGCAGGGCCGAACCGCTCTGGGCGTTTCGACCTTCGGACTTGTCGGTGGCCACATGGCCGACGCACCACATTTCACAGCCAGTCCGTTGTGTCAGGAAACGGCTTTGCATGGGCGTTTTGGCCTTCGGACTTGTTGGTTCCCACATTGCCGACACCAAATCTCACGGGCAGCCCGTTGGGTCAGGAGACGCAAGGCCGAACCGCCTTGGCGCTTTGGCCTTCGGACTAGTTGGTACAGTCAGCCCGTTGCGTCAGGAAGCGCAGGTCCGAGACGCACTGGGCGTTTTGGTTTTCGGAGTTGTTGCTTCCAACGTAGCCGACACACCACATTTCACAGGCAACCCGTTGGGTCAGGAGACACACGGCCGAATTTCATGAGCGCTTTGGCCTTCGGATTTGTTGGTTCCAACATCGACGGCGCGCCACATTTCACAGGCAGACCGTTGGGTCAGGGGACGCAAAGCCGCAACGCATTGGGCGTGTTGGCCTTCGAACTTGTTGGGCATCACATAGCCGACACACCACATCTTTTAAGCAGTCCGTTGAGTCAGGGGACGCAGGGCCGAAACGCATGGACATTTGGTCCGGCTCTGCCGTTGAATCCGATACTATAAAATCAAGACGGGGCTGAAATCGGATCCGCCGTGAAAAACAAGGCCAGTCGCGGATCAACTTAATCCGAAATCGCATCCGCGCGACGGAAACCCGATCCACCGAAACAAAAACCAAAGCCGCAAGTGAGTCCGTTCGACAATCATAAGGGTCCGACGGCGGTTATCCCACACGCGTCTGCTCAAGACTTCGAAGCCGTCGTTCAAGACCCAAGAGGAAAATACCTTCGTCCTGGGGGTGGGCGTGTTGGCCTTCGGACTGGTGACCACACAGCCGATACACCACATTTCACATGCAGCCCGTTGGGTCCGGACTCAGGGCCAAAACGCATTTGGCGTTTTGGTTGTCGGACATGTACGTTGCCACACGCACGACACACCAAATCTCACAGGCACTCCGCTGGGTCAGGAGAGGCAAGGCCGACACGCATTGGCGTTTTGACTATCGGACTTGTTGGTTACCACGTACCCGACGTACCACATGTCACAAGCAGTCCGATGTGTCAGGGAGCGCAGAATTGCAATGCACTTGCGCAGGACAAAAAGTGTTTCTTAACGTGGAAATGGCGATGATGAGTTTCGGATAACGTCGCCGCCGCTGGTCGAACGGCGTCTGGACGAGTTGCGCGCAGCTCGTCCAGGAGGAAAGAGACGCATTCATGTTGAGTGGGGCCCGGCCCCCGCGCGCGGAAAGTTGATTGGAACGCGTGGGACAGCATGGAACCCATCCGTGGACGTTGACGAACGAATTCCCCTTCCTTTGCAGAATCTTAACACGGGCGGTTTCCGGGGTCCGTGGATCCGATTTCATCCGGCTTCCCGTTTTCATGTAGTCGTATAAATTTCAAACGGGGTACGCTTCGGACCCGCTGTTCAAAATAAGACCAGACTCGGATCGAAAGACTCCTAAATCGGATCCGCGCGGACGGAATTCGGATCCACCGAAACAACAACCAAATCCACAATTGGACCCGCTCGACCTTCATGGGATCCGACGGCGGTTATTGCATACGCATTTGGTCAAGACTTCAAACCGTCGTTCCGGGCCCAAGAGGAAAATAGTTTCGTCGTTGTAAGGGTTTTCGCATCAGGTGCCATGAGAGGAGCGCACATTCCTCGAGCGGGCACGCGTGGAAAGGGGGTGGGGCAGGCATTGGCTGTCATGCCAGTGGTGCGCCGTTCTCGTGCCGGGCACGCGTAAACTTGAGATTCACGCATTCTCTGACATGCTGGAGGTGCACCGTGAGCTCGAGCGGGCACCAGGATAGTTGCATCGGAAAGGACGCGCGATGCATGCAACAGTCCGCGGGTGGGGGGGGGCTTTCCCTTGACAGGTTACACGAAAGCTCTACCGGGCAGACCCTTGCATTCTTCCACGCCTCAGAGTGACAGGGGGCACGGTGGTGAAGCTGTGGATATTCAGTCGCCACGAGGTTCAAGAACAAATTTTGCTTTGGAGGGGGCACCCTTTGATGATTTCTTGGGTAGGGCTCTCCACCTTGGGATGCTCTTCGTTTACGGTACCTCCATAGGGCCTTCGGCGGCCCACGGTCCAAATTGAGCCTTCGGCGACATGGCTCGTATTCCTGGCTCGCCTTCTTTTTCGCCACGCTGCGACAGTGCAACATATTAGTCTCGTTACTTCTCTGCGCTTCACCTCCCTCATCTTAGATGCGCCCGCTCCGTTTGTACATTGGAGTCATCGCTGGTGTTTCCGACCTCCCTTCATCCCGCGAAGGAGATAAAGGCGATCCTTCGCAATCAGGCCAGACAAGCAAATCAATCACCCGCATTCTTCTGAGATTTCGATTCGGTGCCCTATGTGGAAGTTGTCGTCGAATTTGTATGTTTTGACGGTGTAGAGTTCGTCGGTTGTTCTACATTTCGGACGGTCTTCGATTTTTCAGACGAGTACAGCAGCGTGTCTGCCACCAGGCCGTCAGGGGACTCAGATCCACAGGTCCACGCTTCTCAGTTGCACCTCCGCGATGTCCGCGTGCGAGAAGGGTGGGCATTGGCAGCAGGCGCTGCTGCTGCTGAGTGCACTGGCGGAGGCGCAGATTCTGCCAGACATTCTCAGCTACGCCGTCGGCGCCAGCGCGTGTGGCAAAGGTTTCTGGGGGGCAGGGGTCAAGCCGCGAAGACCGAGTGCACTCGCCGTGAAGCAACCGGCAGAGACCACGGAGATGTGAAAACGGGGCCGACAACAGCGCCGTGGAAGATGGATGCAGGGAGGTGCTCGCGTCGTGGGCAAAATGCCGACGGACGGTGTTTGATTGTTTTCGGCCTCTGGGGGCCCTTGCTGGGCCCTGGGACCGTCAAAGAACGACTGTGGACGAGAAGCCCGTCCGGGCGAATCGGTCGAGACCTCGTTGGCCCACTCTTTGGGAAAAGAATCGGGCTAGGCTGCGACAGCGCAGGAGGGCGTCGAGCCGACGTGCGCCGAGAGCGAGAGGTGGATCCGGGGCATCTGCCCATTCACCTCCGCCCGCCAGACCGGCACTTTCCCCGGCCACCTTGGCGCAAGGGCTCCCGGAAGGGGGGGAGAGGGGAGGAGGCAGGCTTCTCCCCACCCTACATCCCCGGTGTGGCGTGCATGTTCTCTCTTGACACACCCCGTGCATGGAGGTGCACCTGACCCCCTCCCCTCCTCTGTTCTTCACTCACGCACTCACGCACCCGTCATCATCCTCACGCACTCACTCACACGATCATTCATACACTCGGTCGCTCGCTCACTCGCTCGCTAACTCACTCTCTCATTCACTCAATCACTATGATCATCATCGTCATCATCATCGTCTTATTCGTCGTGATCGTCGTCATCACTATCTCATTATTCGTCGTCATCATCATCGTCGTCATCACCATCGTTGTCAATTTCGCAGTAGTAAGATCATTCCTACTACCAGTACATCATCATCATTATCATCATTAGTATTGTTATTATCATCAGCTTCAGTTTCAGCATTAGCAGCAGCGTCAGACTCAGCATCAGCATCAGCAACATCATCAGCATCAGCAACACTGTCAGCACCATTTGGGCCCCCAAGCTTGTTTCTTCAAGGAGTCTCATTCACGGGCCTTGTCTGTGAGTGAATGGAGTGGAAGTCTCAGGCGGGAGCCACTTCCTTCTGGTGACCGCGCCTCATGGTTTAATCCCAGGGGGTCTGTCGAAACCCGCAGCCGTCGTTACTCGTGTGCCCTTGATATTCAAATCTTCAGGGAGTCTCTAGCGGGGGCTTTTTCCGTGAGTGAATTTTGTTGAAGTTTCGGGCGGGAGCCCCGTCATCATGGGGCCCACGCTTCATGTTTGCATTCCCAGGCGGTCATTCGAAACGTGTCACTGTCACTGTTTTAGGGCCGATAGGGTTCTAATCTCCAGGAAGTATCAGGTGGGGGCCTTTTCGGTGAGTGTCTTGCAAGGAAGTCTCAAGCTGGAGCCCCCTCCCTGCGGGGCCCGCGCTCAAGCTTCAATTTGAGGGGGTCGTTCGAAACTTGCGCTCCTGAGGCTTCAATCTTCAGGAAGTCTCAGGCGGGGGGGGCCTTGTTTAGGAAAGGATTGCGAGGAAGTCTCACGCGGGAGCCCCCTCCCGATGGGGCCCGCGCCTCATGTCATGGATCCTTGGGGGCCATTGCGAAACCTGTATCGTTCGTTACACTTGGGCTCCCGTGGTGACATTTCAGGAATTCTGGAAAGGGAGCGTGGGCTGTGAGTGACCCGTCATGAAGTCTCGATCGTAAGCCTCATGTGTTTAGGCCCACGGATGGGACGGAATGGGATGAGGATTATTCTCAGACAATTAATGGAGATGTTCACGCGGGGAGGACGTATTAGACTCTGGCAAGTTGACAAGTTTACTTACATGAACGGGGGGGCGAAGCGTGGTGAGGCCCGCGAGGCAAGCAATATTTCACGCGATTTGGGACTCACTTGTACACCTTTGCGGTCCAGCGCTGTTGGAAAAGGCAGCGGAGGGAGGGTGGAGGGAATGCTGTCCGTGAACTTGCTTGAGATTCCAACCTCCAAGGAGCAGTTGGAGCCAATCGGATGAGGGCGGGAGGCATGTGCGCCAGGCCGCCCGCTGCGGTACGACAGGGGCACCCCTCCCGATGAGGTTCGCGCGAGGGCGCGAGCACCGCCGCGCAACTCGGGAAGCGAGGAGCGAGGTGGTGACAGCTCTTCGCTCGTGACGTGGCTGGGCCCCCCCCCCCTCCCCCCCCCCCCCTGTCACGCGCTTCCTCGCCAGGGGATACAGATCGATGAACCGCACATTTCACCAGCCTCGAACTTATCTCTATCCCTCAGATTGACACGCTAAAAGGAGATGACAATCTCTGGGATGCACCCGAAGAAACTGAGAAAATCCCCAAGATCGCCATCGTGATGCGGCGAAACCCAACATAGGGATAGGGATATGTTCCAGGCTGGTAAACATTGCGTGAACCTAGTTTGCCGAGGCTCCGCGCGGATTTCTTGGATCGGCGTTCTGCCCCCCTTTGCTGCGCGCTCCACGAGCCAGGGAGGGAGGATGACCCTGGGGGGCCCGGTCCCTTCGCGGTTCGCGCGGGCGCCTTGTGGGGATGCTTGAGGGTGGCTCGTTCCCAGACGGCGCCGGCACGAGTGGTGACGTGAGCAGGCGGGGGAGGAGTTACCAGTTTGAAACATATCCCTACCCCCATGTTTGACATCACCTCACCTCGATGCCGATCTTAAGGATTCCCTTAGTTTCTGAGGGCCCATCCCCAAGACTGTCCTCGCTTTTTGCTCGCCCATCTTAGGGATAGGGATAAGTTCGAGGCTGGTTAAGGAGGGGTGTGCGCGTGTGGCCAGTCACCGGCGTTGTCGCGAAGAATAGGGAAATGCGCTCCTATTCTGCTCTCCGAAGGCGGGCAGTGGCAGCCGGCGCTGTCGCTGCTGACAGAGGCCTGGGAGGCAAAGCTCGAGCCCAGCGTTGTCAGCTACAGCGCTGGGATTCACGCGTGCACAAATGGCGGCCAGTGGCAGAAAGCGTTATTGCTGCTGCGGGAGATGATGGCTATCAAGCTGGACGCTGACACCACGAGCTACAACATTGCGATCAACGCGTGTGGTAAAGCGTCTCCAGTGCCGTGGCAACACGCGCTGTTGCTGTTGAGCGAGCTTGCGGAAGTTGGTCAGCCGGACGCCATCAGCTACAATTCGGGGCTCTCGGCTTGCCAGGAGGCTGGGCAGTGGGAGCATGCGTTGTTGTTGCTGGGGCAAGTGCGGGAGACGAAATTGGAGGTGATAGTCGGTTGCTTCAGCGCCACGATCAACGCGTGCCGCAGGGGCGGCCAGGTTCACAGGTCGCTGTCGCTGCTGGAGGAGATGATTGTCTGCAGGTTCGACAGCGCCGTCGTCGGCTACAGCGCTGGGATCAATTCGTGCGAGGCGGGGGGGCTTTCGCCGCGAGCGCTTCCACTGATGGGCCTAATGGAGCGGCGTGAACTTCTGAATCTGCACACGTGCTGCGGAAGGACCTCGGGCTATCCGGCCCTTGAAACGGTCCCCTCCCCCTCCCCGTCTCGGCGGCTCGCGGCGCGCCCTCTTGGGGACGTGAAAGTGAGCGGGCTCTCTCCCCGGAGGCTCGGCAGCCCCCTTTGGCCTTCCGAGAAGTGTTCCGAGTCTTCCCCGAAGACGCAGAGAAAGCTTCCACCAGGCGCGGGGCGCCCTGAGAATCCACGCCGCCTTCCGAGAAGGCCTCCCCCTCATCGCCCCCCCTCGCTCGCCACCGAACAACGATGCCCCCCCCCTTCCCATCTCCTCCCTGTCCCTCCTTCGGCGACTACAATCTGTGCGATTACGCCGGGGTACGGTTTGCGAGTTGCTGTGTGACGGCCTTTCCGGGGCCTTTGCGAGAGACATTGTCATATTTGTCATCGTTTCGAGCGACGCTGTCATCCTCGATTTGGGCTCCACTGTACTAGAAGAAGCGACAGAGCGACAGTGTCATGTGATTCGGTCGCATTGAGTGACAGTGCCATCCGTTTCCCGGGGGGCGGGAGGGGCAGATAAGACCCGGGGGCCCCCAAACGGGGTGGTGACCGCACCGTGCGGTGAGCCGGTGGGGATTCGGGGTCACCGCACGGTTTTGGGACTCGGGTCGTTCTCCGAGGATGTCTCGGGCGAGAGGGGCCTCCGGGGTCCCAAAACCGTGCGTTGACGGACCGTGCGGTGAGGTCTTTGGGGATTTCGAGGTCACCGCACGGTCTGTCACCGCACCGTTTCGGGACACCAAAACGACGGGGGGCAAACCGCACCCTTCGCAAACCGCACCTGCTGTAGTCACCGGCTCCTTCCGCCTTCTCCGCGCACCCACCCCCGCATGCGCGCGCCGCGGAGGCGCACGCTCGCAGGAGGAGAAGGAGGAGGAGGAGGAGGAGGAGGAGGAGGAAGAGGAGGAGGAGGAGGAGGAAGAGGAGGAGGAGGTCTGCACCGGCCGATCGGGGGGTCGGGTCCTCTTAAGCCATTAGCTGCGGCAGCAAGAGCCGCAGCCCGCAGCGGGGCTCGACCCACGCACTGTTTTGTCAGCAGTCTCGTAGGCCGTGCTGGTTTTGGTGGCGCTCTGCAGCCAGAGGCGGAGCAAAGACGAGACTTGAGTCGGGCCTGTCCCCCTACAGGGGGATTTCCGACGAAAAATTCTAAATACCCAGACCATATCAAAGAAAATAGTCCAAAAATAGCCCAGGGCCCCAAATCATCAGGGGTGACTCGGGTCAGGGCTAACTCGGGTGCGTTCTTTGGGACTCCGAACCCGAGTTACCCCGGACCCGAGTTACCCCGGGTAGTTCGGGCGTCCAGGGCCCCAAATCATCAGGGGTAACTCGGGTCAGGGCTAACTCGGGTTTGTCTTACGGGAATCCAAACCCGAGTTACCCCGGACCCGAGTTACCCCGGATAACTCGGGCGCCCAATTAAGTCGGGCCTGTCCCCCTACAGGGGGATTTCCGACGAAAAGCTAAAAAT